ATTATTTAATTATATTTAGTTATTTTTAATAACAGTTAATTATAATTAATTATAATTATTATAATTAAATATTTTAACTATATTTAATTATTAGAAATAATGATTAGTTTTAATTAAAATTTACTTATAATTAATTTATAATTATTATGATTAATTATTAGTGATAATAATTAATCATAATTTATTTAAATTAATTATAATTAACTTTTAATTTAAATTAATTATCATCATTTATAATTAAATGTGGTTAATTATTTTAATTATATTTAATTATTTATAAATTATAATTAATTATTATTAATTTTAATTCATTATAATTAATTAATAATTTAAAAAAATGATGCCCTCTTACCTCAACATTCGTGTCGGGCTGGCAAACCGCCCATACACGCTTTTCTCTAGCGTGGTGGGAAGGGAAACCAGCGCGACACCTACGACGAGGTAGGCGAGCGACTCTTGGTTCCAAATCTTGTTCTCGGCGTTCGTGGCGCACTGAAAAACCGCCTATACACGCTTTTCTCTAACGTGGTGGGATGGGAACCTGGTGCGGCACTTACGACGAGACCGGGCTATTCATAAGTACCCGCTCGCGCTCGCGGGGAAACAACTATTTCTCTTTTGTAACAGGTACCGAAGACCCATACACGCCTTTCTCTGGCGTGGTGGGGACAAAGATTTTACACGGCTGCGGTGTCCTTGGACAAATACCTCTGTTAGCTAAGGTGGATTCAAATTTGTCCCCTTAGACAAATACCCACCCCAGGCCTACAAGATCTCCTTGGACGAAGCAACCCATGGCTGTCGACAAGGATCCTTCTGTCAGGTTGGGTCGACTACCTCCTCTGACTAAGTAGACCAGGGACCACGATGGTCCGGGACGACGGAACCATGGGATCTTGATCAGGCCCATCATCCATTCCCCCACCATCCGCTTTAAGTGCTAGGTAGTAAAATTTCTTATTTTAAATATCAAACTCTTCAAATCCTAAACATCCAAAACCTTCAATCCTTCAATTCCAAATTCCAAACCTATTGTTGCTACTATATACCAGATAACACGTATCTCTATACGTATCTGATCGACGACTAGCCTTAATCGAAAGTTCTCTCTCGTGATCGGGAGGGGTAATTAACTATAGGGGCTTGCACTTATAGGAAACCAAAACTCAAATCATAAAGTACTCACAAAATGAGGGCGAAATCTCTGGGTAGTGTCTTATCTACAAACTCATCTGCCTTCCAAAATTTACCCCGGAACTTATTCCGTTAAAACTCACCCCACCGAATAAAAAGAAAAGAAGGCGGAGGCCGGGGCCGAATTTTCGGAGCCCACACCATCCAATATATGTTGTAGAGGTCTCCCAAACATATCCAATAATCTAAAGGTAGACTAGGACTCTCTTTAGGACAGTAAGTTTTCCAACTTCTCTCCACAGCATTAGATGTCATTGTTGTATATATACTTATATTTTCAGAGAGAAGACTTTCAAAAATACTCACAGATTTACAGGACTTAAGATAAAAGACCTCAAATAAAAAGATAAGACCATTTTTATCTTATATATATATATATAATTTAACATTGCTGCATATTTTATAAATGATAATTCATTACTTTTTTTTGTAGGAATCGAAAGTATGCTTTTTCTTTAAAATAAAGATGAAATCATCCGTACAAAGGTAAAGATATATATGCATTCCTAATAATATAACAACAACATAAATTGAGCATCAACTTAAAAATGCTTTTTTGATCATGCTGGAAATTTGTAGGTATATAAACAAATTCAATTGACTTTAATTCAGTTAAAACTAACGTAGAATTCTTGGGCCACCATGGTCTAAATAAAATATAAAAATATGGTACTCAGGTCCACTATCAATAACTTTACCACTGCTATCAGATATAGTCTTTTTAACTCCAAAGAGAACAAAAAAATTCTTAACATTAATATCATATCCTACATAATCCTGTAAATAATTTTAAGTAAGATGTTAGAAAACATAGATCAATTACCATAAAAAAATTCATGGTACTGTCAAGTCCCATCAAAATCAAAATTTGGGAACTCCAGCGTACATACACTCCCATCAGGACTGTTAATTATAATTTCTTGTCTGGGATTTTTCTCACTGTATGTAATATCATCGTACATTAAAATAATGATATTTTCATCATTCAAACCACCATTTTTTATAATTTGATAGACATGACATATATCAGCCTAGATGAGCAGAAAAAAAAGAAAGTTAAAATTTAAATAGATATTCTCTCACTTGTGGTAGAAGAAATGTATACAAGTTATCACGTTATGTCAAAATAGAACTAATTTTTTAGAGAATTGGTGATGTAAGCAAACCACAGTATAAAAAAGAAGGGATGAAATTGCATCAATCAATTAAAATAAAGTAGAAAAATCTATATTAATCACTTCAAATAGTCTCCATAGTTTTAACCTGCAGTTTGATTGAAATGTTACTTATCAAGCAATTTCTTACATTCAAATGCAAGTTTCACCATAATCGTTATGACAGTTATTGTCTTAAATCTATATCATTAAATATACATCACAGTAAGGGATACGAATGATGTTGAGTTCATTAACTAAGTGAACAAACTTTAAGTGATGCATTACTTAGGCTTTGTTTGGAACAACTTTTTATTGCTTCTTAAAATAGAGTACTAAAACTCTGTTTCAAGAAGTAATTCATCCACAACGAAACCTTAATCTTAAAAAATAAATCGTTAATATGAACCCCAAAAAGTAAAAGGAGAGAAAAATGATCGAAGAAAATAAATCGTTAATATGAACCCTAACAGAAATGTACAGTAAATTCTCTTACCAAGCCAATTAAATCTTTAATCTAATTTTGTTTTGTCAAAAAATATAATCCACCGAAAAAAGGCAAGATGTTTATCAAATAATTAATAGTGACAAATTCAAACCAATCAATAATCGAGTTTACAATTTCCCCTTAATAAATAATTATGTTAATGTTCTATGCACTATATAGATCCAAAACTTGGATACTCCAAACCCGGAGTTAAATATAATGGAAATCCAATGTCCAAATAGCATCTGGAACAATTCTAAGCAGTCCCTTCTTCTAATACATAATCACGCAATGAAGCTTCATGAATAGTAAATTAAATCCAATTAATACAAAATTTACCAAAACAAGTAGAAAATTATAATCAATCAGATTAGCAAAAACCAAAAGAAACAGGGAAAACGATAAAAGGTCAAATACATGATATCTCTGTTTAAAATTGCGCAATAAGAAGCGTGCCTTGAGGCGCCTCTGCGCAATTTGTCCCAAAACCGCCTCGAAGCTTATGCAATTCCACCCCTGGCAGAGGCATACGCCTCACTTGGATTGAGGCGTGCCTTAGAGGCGTAATTGCGCAACTCTTGGTGAGGCGTACGCCTCATGGGATTAGGGCCCACCCACTTAAAATGAAGGGTTTTTTTCTCCTTAAACCCGCACGGCAGCAGCTCCTCCCAATTTTTTCCTTCACTCACGGCTCCAGTTCGCGAAACAGAGAGCTCCCGCACGGTCCTTACCCACCGGCTTCCCTTCCCGCCGCTTCTCTCGCCAGCGCCGACTCTCTCCGGCGAAGTTGAAATTTCTGGCCGCCCTCTAGGAGTACTCCACATTGGATTTTAGGTATTTTTTTTAGTTTAGGGTTTGATTTTGCAAGAGTAAGAAAATATATGGTTTATGTTTTTTTTTATTGTTTTTTTTGTGTTTTTGGATTTTTGCTTTATGAGACATGGTTAGAGGTAAAGAAAAGGCGAATACGTCATTGCGGCGTAACCCTTCTTGAAAATATAGCATGCAAGTTGACGTAGGAGGGGGCGAGAAAACGTATGTCTATTTAAAATGCAATTTTTGTGAGAAAGTGGTGAAGGGCGGAGTAATCCGCATGAAGGAACACTTATCATGCTCTCATAAGAACGTAGCACTGTGTGCAAAAGTGCCGGACAATGTGAAGGAAGAAATAATTGCTTACATTAAGAAAACTATCACGGTAAAATACTTATTGCATCTGATAATGAGTGGTTTGTAGATGATGAGACAGATTTGCCATTATCAGACTTACAGCTAGAGAATCTAAGTGTGGATGTCTTGATGGGCGAAGTAGATCAAGTGGGCACATCCACTACACCACACACATCCACTAGCTCTGCAGCACAACAATCAAGTAAATGTATATTTCACAACTTCTTATATGCTATTGCATTATATTTATATCAAGTGAGCAATTAACATGATAATGATCTTTTCTCTTATTGAACAGGGAAGAGAAAAGTGAGTTATATTGAAGATGTGATGATATGACATTCATATATACAATTGGAGAAGAAGATTCCCTTGAAGACCAATTTAGTGATGAGATATGATTGCATTTTATATGTTCTTTGTACTTTAGGAGTTTTGTTAAACTAATATTTTGTGATTTTGTACTTTGGGACATGATTTTATTGCATCTATTTTCTTATTTTCCACTATTTTCATATATTATTTAGATGCTTTTATTGTAAGATAGAATATTACTATTATTTACCTGCTAAAATCCTTAATTTCTCATTTACGCAATTATGTGTCCGTGAGGCTTACGCCTTAGACCGCCTCGAGGTTTATGCCTCGCCTCACGGACGAAAACTGCCTCGAGGCTTAATTACGCAATTTTAAACCTTGCCTGATATTGGTAATTCCTATAGCCTGATGATCCTGCAATCAAGATGGCCCATCTCATCCCGATAGAAGCATCCCCACCGGCTTCCAAGCAGTCGCTGGAGATTTCTAACGTCAATCGAAGGATCAGATCCAAGCGAGAGTGCGAAAATAAGAGATGGAAGGAGAGGAGGAATAGGAGAGAAACACAAATAACGACGATGCAAAATAGCATTGCAGCTTTGTATTTGATGGATGCCATTGTTGCCTGCGCTAACTACTGCTTTGAATTGCCTTTAGAATGAAAAGAAGAGAACGAAAAAGCAATGATGGAGGGTAGATGACTCATGGGGTCGTTATTTATAACAAATTTAGCAACGCAGAACAGGTGGTTAGCAGGTAGTTATTATGCAAGCAAGTTGATTACCAAATAATTAATAGTGACAAATTCAAACCAATCAATAATCGAGTTTACGATTTCCCCTTAATAAACAATTATGTTAATATTCTATGTGCTATATAGATCCAAAACTTGGATACTCCAAACCTGGAGCTAAATACGACAGGGATCCAATGTCCAAATAGCATCCGTAACAGTTCTAAATAGTTCCTTCATCTAATACATAATCATGCAATTAAGCTTCCTGAAAAGTAAATTAAATCAGATAAACACAAAATTTATCAAAATAAGTAAGTAGAAAATTACAATCAATCAAATTAGCAAAAACCAAAAGAAATAGGGAAAGCAATAGAAGGTCAAGTACCAGATGTTGATAATTCCTGTAGCCCGACGATCCTGCAATCAGGATGACCCATCTCGTCCCGACAAAATCATCCTTACTAGCTTCCAGGAGGCGGCTGGAGATTTTTGAGGGTAATCGAAGGACCAGATCCAAGCGAGCGTACAAAGGTAAGAGATGGGAGGAGAGGAGGGATATGAGAGAAACATAAATAACGACGATGCAAAAGAGCGCTGCTGTCTTGTATATGATGGACGCCATTGATGCCTGCGTCTACTGCTTTGAATTGCCTTTGGAATGAAAAGAAGAGAACGAGGAATCGAGGATGGAGGGTAGATGACCCATGGGGTCGTTATCTATAGTAGACGGGGCAGCGCGGAACAGGTAGCCTGCAGGCAGTTGCCCGGGCTGCCAGCTTATTGCCTTTTGCAATTTTTTTTTGGGGAAATTTTGAGTGCTTAGCCCATTCTATAATTAAATTTGGGTATACAAGTGTAAGCCAAAAATAGCCAACAATAGAAACTTTTGACTGTTACAAAGAAAAGTAAAAACTATAACCCAAAACCTGAAAAAAATAGGAAAATGAATAAAAATTGGTAGAGAAACTGTCTGGCCTGGACTCAGAAAGAAATTAACATCATAAAAATTTGATCAAAATATCCCTTGGTTTCTAGAAAACCGTCCAAAAGAGGAACAATTATTTGGTTCGGTGAACGTACGCTCCTCTACGTTCGGCCACCAATATTTTAGCGACACGTAGCATTAAGAAAAGTCGCCGACCCGACCCGCCGTTTTTTGGGTTCTCGTACATGCATTTTTTTAATTCCTTTACAAACCGAACAACATCCCATCACTTTTTGGATATATTTCAAATATCTAGCAAATACCGAGTTGTACCTAGTTTTTTCTAGCAATACCGAGCAAATACCTAGCAATACCGAGCAAATACCTAGCAATACCGAGCAAATACCTAGCAATACCGAGCAAATACCTAGCAATACCGAGCAAATACCTAGCAATACCTAGCAAATCCCTAGCCATACCGAGCAAATCCTGAGCAAATACTGAGTTGTACCGAGTTGTACGGAGTTGTACCTAGTTTTTTCTAGCAATACC